CCAAAGATTTTAAATGACCCTGCGATGACTTCTTGAGGGTTCTGCTAAATGTTGTGGTTGCTATAACCACAGTTAAAGTTTCTTTTCATTGTGTCCATGTCACTAATTTTGCCAAGGATATGTTCTCCAGCCTCATTTTCATATTGCTTTTCAATTTCATTTTTTGTGTTCTATAATAGCCTGGTAAGGAAAACATAAAATTTCACATTTCTGGCAAACTGAAATGGAGCATTCTTAGCCTACCCTCTAATGAGTGCATATTGGTAGTGACTACACAAATGCTTGACAGGAAAAGATTAATAGCAGTCTGTCCTTCAGTTTAGTTTTTTAACATTTTATTTTTTATTTGAAATGTATTCATTCCTTATTTTGAGTAATACATTTATATAGTTCAAATTTCAGGAAATGCAAAGGGTATGCAATATAATACCTCCATTATATCCCTAAACCTCAACCACATATTTCTCTTTCCCTGAGGCAACCACTTGTGCCAGATATTTGTGTATCTTTATAGAAATATTTTAAATCATATATTATCAAATACATAAATATTCCTTTTTCATTTATGAATATATCCTACAGATCTTTCCATATCAAGCATAGACCACTTTATTGTTTTTGACAGCTGCATGGATTCCATTGATTTTAGTCAGTTAAAAGTAGTGGTTAGTCATGGACCCTGTAGCCAGACTGTCTGCGTATAGACCACGAATCTGCTACTGGGAAACCCTGTTTGCAAGTTGCTAAATCTCTAGGTGCCTCAATTTTCTCTTCTATAAAATGAGAGAAAAGTAGTACATTCTTCTATTGTTGTGAAAAGTAAATGTTTTAACTTATTTAATAGGGCATATTTATTAGAACAACGTCTGGCAGATAGTGAGCACCCAAGTGTTAGCTGCCACCACCATCGTCATTATCATCAACACTTGCAGTTATTAATCAGAATCTTATTTATGGGTATATGCATTTTTCCTTTTGCTATCACAAACAGTGTTTCAGGGAATAACCTTGTACCTTCGTTATTTCATATGTGTGTGAGTTTATGGATTTTTCACAACAAGTACAATATCCAGGCCAAGGAGTATGTAAATTTGTAATTTCGGTAATATTTGCCAAATTGCATACCATAGGGATTGTATCAAGTTATGTTCTCTCCAGCAGTTTGATAAAATTTAAGTGATCAGTAACTTGATGGTAGTTTTTTGATGTTATTCTATTTCTGGAATTATTGATAGTTAAAAATGATACTTTTGGGGCGCCTGGGTGGCGCAGTCGGTTAAGCGTCCGACTTCAGCCAGGTCACGATCTCGCGGTCCGGGAGTTCAAGCCCCGCGTCAGGCTCTGGGCTGATGGCTCAGAGCCTGGAGCCTGTTTCCGATTCTGTGTCTCCCTCTCTCTCTGCCCCTCCCCCGTTCATGCTCTGTCTCTCTCTGTCCCAAAAATAAATAAACGTTGAAAAAAAAAATTAAAAAAAAAAATGACACTTTTGAAAGATCTTCCTTTATCTTCATTAGAGGTATAATCCTGTCAGTAGGGCTTGATCAAACAATCTTTTATTTTTTAATGTAAGATACGTATGTTGGTAGATTATTTGAAGATTCTCGCAGATAGTGTTTTAGAGAGTGGAAGATAATCTATTTTTTTTTCATTCCTTATTTTCAAATATTTCTATTTCTCTGAATCTGAATTATTTCAGATCTTTAATTAATTTTTTTTTAATTTTTTTTTTAATGTTTATTTATTTTTGAGACAGAGAGAGACAGAGCATGAACGGGGGAGGGTCAGAGAGAGGGAGACACAGAATCTGGAACAGGCTTCAGGCTCTGAGCTGTCAGCACAGAGCCCGACGCGGGGCTCGAACTCACGGACCGTGAGATCATGACCTGAGCCGAAGTCGGCCGCTTAACTGACTGAGCCACCCAGGCGCCCCTTTAATTTACTTTTAATAGCTATCCATTGTCAAAGCTTAAAATAGTAGAGAGAAGACTTAAGATGTTAGGCATATTTCAAGGAACTATAGAGAATACAAAGATTAATAAGTAGTATTCTGCCATACTTTTCTCTGGTGGGTAAGCTAGATGTGAACCATTTCCAGGTTAGAAAATGTAGAAAAGGACAAAAAAAATGTGTAGGACAGAACTTTGGAAATAACCTGTATTCAGGTAAGTAAAAGTGAAAGAAATGAAAGTAAGCCATTAGAGAATACAGTACAAGGATATAGTGTTAATAGAAACCAATATAATGGGCAAATGTTTTCAATAGAATATGTAGGGTATTACTAAAGAAAGACTGCTTGATGTAACAATTAGCAGATAATAGGTGTGAGGAAGCAGTTTCAGTAGAGTTGTTGGACCTAATGAAGAAGAATGAACAGGTAGAACGTAGTAAGTAAATAGGCCTATGTATCAAAAGTCATTGTGACAGCAGCAGGATTTTCTTCTTTAAAAAATTTTCAGTGACAGGCTCTGTTCATTTTCAAAATTACAGCTTTAAACATCTGATTTTACTTTATTAGTAATTGTTACTTATATATGGTAGTCAATTTTTTTAGAAGTTTATTTATTTATTTTGAGAGAGAGAGTGAGTAGAGAAGGGGCAGAGGGAGAAAGAAAGAGAAAATCCCAAGTAGGGCTTGAGCCCATGACCCATGAGATCATGACCTGAGTTGAAATCAAGAGTTACATGCTTAACCGGCAGAGCCACCAGGTGCCCCTAAATATGGTAGTCATTTTTAAAGATGCTAAGCATGAGACTGGTTTTTATGTTGTTTCTAATGCTAGTTGTTGTTTTGTTGCCTTTCACTTTACAATATTAAATTAATGCAGCAAAATATTCCTCCCTTTATGAACTAACTTGGTAGTCCATTGTAATTATAGTTAAGACTCCACTGTATATGAAAACTACGATATCAGTCATGGAAATAAAATAGAACATTGTTTAATAATTAACAATAACGTGTCACTTTTTAGTGAACTGGTATGATTAGTGTTGTCCTTTTTTTGAGTTCTTTAAAAAATCAGTATTACCTGGGAATGCAAACTGGTACAGCCACTCTGAAAAACAGTATGGAGGTTCCTGAAAAAATTAAAAATAGAGCTACCCTACAACCCAGCAATTGCACTACTAGGTATTTATTCAAGGGATACAGGTATGCTGTTTTGAACAGACACATGCACCCCAATGTTAAATAGCAGCACTATCAACAATAGCCAAAGTATGGAAAGAACCCAAATGTCCATCAACGGATGAATGGATAAAGATGTGGTGTATATATACAGTGGAGTATTACTTGGCAATCAAAAAGAATGAAATCTTGCCATTTGCAACTATGTGGATGGAACTAGAGGGTATTATGCTAAGCGAAAATAGTCGGAGAAAGATAAGTATCATATGACTTCACTCATATGAGGACTTTAAGACAGAGAACAGATAAACATAAGGGAAGGGAAGCAAAAATAATATAAAAACAAGGAGGGGGACAAAACATAAGAGACTCAAATATGGAGAACGAATGGAGGGTTACTGGAGGGGTTGTGGGAGGGGGGATGGGCCAGTGGGTAAGGGGCATTAAGGAATCTACTCCTGAAATCATTGTTGCACTATATGCTAACTAACTTGGATGTAAATCTAAAAAAATTAAAAAATTAAAAAAAAATCAGTGTTACCAAGTTATAATTTCCATACATTAAAAGTTGCACATTTTAAGTGTACAGATAGATGACTTTGAGAAATGCATATAGCTATTTAATGACACTCCAAAACATAAAATATTTCCATCTTTCCAAGAACAACTAATTCTTCTCATGTTTAATAACTTAAAAATCTCATTTTATTTCTTTTGCTTGCTTAGTACTTCATGAGAGTAGATTTACTTGTCATCTCTACAGCTTGGTGTAGGGATACCTGTTGGTAGTACTTAATTCATTATACTGAAAATGAACAAAAGAGCTATATATCAAGTAACTAAAACATGGTTAGAAATGGTTGTAATTAAAATGATGAGAAAGGTCTCGTTTTTTTCATTTTACAGATTAATAAAAAGTCAAATTAAGTTTGACATGCGAAATGTGCCACTGTAGTCTTTTATTGGGACTCTAAATGAAGAGCACACTTTGATGACTTTTAGTGGCTGTCAGTTGTTCCATGCTCTTTCTTGTAAAAGTACAGTACACTTTAGAGACTTTTCCTTCTTACATTCTTAAATGTGATTTGAATTGGAGCTGCTAATCATTGGCAAGGAATCTGTCAGAGGGTATAAAGTATTTTCTTATTGATTCATTGAGTCTTATTCCTGTGATTTTTATCTTGAATATTGACATGTATAGAGTTGAAACTGAACCTTATGTAGTTATTAGTTCAATATTCTCTGTACTCAAGGTAGATTTTGAACCTTATTTTATTTTATCTAAATTATGTTAATTTTTAACACAAGTCTTTGATATAAACCACTCTTACTATTTTAAGAGTGGTAATATTTATATAGCCATACTTGAGATAAAAATTATATAGCTAACGTAAAAGTAATACTAAAGAATGAGAGAGAAAGGGGTTAACTTTGTTTTTTGTTGGTTTGATACTTAGGTTGAAGTTACTGAGCTATTTTTCATGTTAACAGAAAACAGATTTAGCTGACATGTATTAATTAGATTAAGGAACACTTAGTTTTAATTTATAGAAGAATATTCTGATGATAAAGAATATCAGCTATATGTCTGGATAGCACCAGTCAATCCTTATATAAATATATTGTTTTTTTGTCTTTTCCTGCCCCAACACTCCTCTCAGTTTTTCCCCCCTCATACTTATTCGCAGAATATTCAGGGATTTTTAAAAATGTCTAAAGAACTTTGAAGCTCTTAAGGGATTCCTTTAGGTAGGAGTTTGGGGGAGGAGAAAACCCCAAAAACTTTCAAATAAAATTTTTCAAATATTGGTCAGATTAAATTTAATGTTTAGCATGGGATAGAAAAGGATTAACTGTAAAATCTGTTGTTCCACAGGTACTGTGAGAATAGAGATGTTTCGAAATATGCAGAATGCAGAAATCATCAGAAAAATGACTGAAGAATTTGATGAGGTATAGCATTTCAATATTTATACAAATTGCCAACTTACACTTTTAAAATGGTGAATATATTTTAAGTTTTATTTTGATTCGGTGTTTAAGAGAAGATAACTCTGTTCTCATTTATGTAATAATCCGTGCTACTAATTCCATAGTTAACGATCTTTGGGGATTTCATTGCATTGTATGGAGGTATCACTTAATGACTGGTAACTGATAAGGATAATAAAATTAGTGGTGTGAAGTAGAAGTTGGTTCTGGACATTCATTCTTGAAGACCATCTAAAATTCCTAAATTTATAAATACATCTCCAGTAGTTTTATGTTCTGTGGAATTAGTCATATTAAATGCTTTAAAGAAAAAAGGATTTAGAGGTCAAATAAGTGTTAATAGCCTGCATGTTATACCTGTTTAGAGATTGTCAAAGTACATTATTTAAGGTTCTTAGAAATCCTGATGGAAAAATAGCTTGCTTAACTTCATGTAATCCAGAATTCCTAAAATGATGTGCATCTCTCCTTACTTCCCCACCCCTCACTCCCTTTTTCTGTATTCCTGTAAAACTTCAGTTTCTGTTTGGGGCAGTCTACTTTAAAATATTCTGATTTCCACTTAGAATACGTATTTTCTTAAAAGAAAAAAATGTATGTGTTTTCTTTGCTAGTCTTCACAGATTAATCAACTTTACACTAATGAAATGTGTAAACACTTTCACAATTTTGTTTGTTTATGGTGAACTCATTTCATGTCATGCTCTGTGCCACCATTAATTCTAGTTTTAACATTCTGCCTTTTGATTTAAATAAGATTTCTATTTTTTGTAGGTGTTCCCTTTTCTTAACTTTAAAACTAATAACAAAGATTTTTTTTTTTTTTTCCAGATCCACTCTGTCAGTGAGGTGGGCTCAGGCTTTTTTTTTTTTTTTTTCCAGATCCACTCTGTCAGTGAGGTGGGCTCAGGCTTTTTTTTTTTTTTTTAGTAGGAATATTTATATTTAATTGACAAAAGTATTACACATGCATGGTAAAACAAACACATGTCACACAATACATATCTTTCTCATCAGGTGTTCACCTTTATTCTAGTGATACACACCAAAACATTGTCGTGTGCATCTTTACAGAAACATGCCATCAGTGACTTTCATGCTGTTTAGTCACATTCTCTGGGAGGGAGGGGAGACCTTACTTTGTGACCTATGTCTATATGTCCATAATCACTTGTCTTCATTTCTGCAATCCAAAACGTTCTGAAATTCCAAAGGACTTTCTTCCGCAATTTAATGGTGGCAAAACCTAGCCCCAACTTACCTGAGGCTATTCATTACAATTTTTATTACCTCAGTCAGCGTGAATATTTATATTTATTCCTGGTGAAATATTAAGGTTCTCGATTACAGGGGGCTGCCCCAAATTCTCTTGGGTTGTGATGGAATTAAAAGAGATGCATTATGTTAACTTCTCAAATTCAAAAATTTCTGGATTCTGAAATAATTCTTGAAATTACTTTTCATTTAAAACTAAGGTTTTTATTGTAACTTTGTGAGTTTATATGTGGCAAATAGAAGATAACCAAGCCAGATTAAGGTGCAAGTAGTAGGTTTACTCACCAACTACTGTACTAACTACCATGCCAGGCTTGCAACACAAGTGATTGAGGTCACAGATTAAATAGTATGCATATTGGACCTTCAGGGTACTATATAAGAGTTTAAGACAGTAGTTCCCAAAGTTTGCTGCATATTAATAACACCTGGGTATATTTGGAAACTGACACCTGACTCTCTCCCTTATCCCCAGACCTTCTTATTTAAATTTTAAGGCATGCATCCAGGGCATAGGGATTTTTAAAAGGTCACCAGCTGACTCCAATGCACAGCAAAGTTCGGGAGAGATTTTGAGAAAAAAACTGAGATTTAAGTTATAAAAACACTTCATATAGGAAAATAGTATGAGAGAAAATACACTGAAAATTCAAAACAAGATTATTATTGCTTTGTATTAAGATATTGAGATAAATTGGGGAAGATGAGGAATTCAGCAAAATGAAGATTATGATGTACCCAAGAAAATATTCCTGTGAATATTGTCAAATACTCAGGTATTGGAAGAATAGTAAACTGTTATCAAAACTGATAGTTAAATGCAGCAAATGAAATTACTCAAAAAGTGTTCATATGGTTAAATATTTTTCTCCCAATATTTGAGAATAGTGACTAAATCAAAAAAGAATTTTTTAAAAACCACCATTTTATGAATAATTCATGAGGTTAAAGGGATACAGACAGCATAGGGAATATAGTGAATGATACTGTAATAGGGTTGTATGGTGACAGTGGTAGCTACACATGTGGTGAGCATAGCATAACATATGAAGTTGTTTTATCACTATATTGTACACCTGAAACTAAGGTAACATTGTATGTCAACTATACTTCAATAAAAATATATAAATCAATGAATGAAAATAGGAAAGATTCTTTAAAAAAAGTATTTTTTTGTCCTGTTTGACAGTACAGCTAACACAGTTTTATTAGAATATATTCATTTAAAGAAGAATTATATATTATTTTCTAAGGCTATTCATTTTATAACTAAGCATTTTAGCAAGAAACTGCGTTTAAATGCTTACATATTGTTAAATATACAGTATTTTATTGTTTTTGTTTCTTCAGAATACTGTATAGGTCATTTAGTCCCCTGGGAGTGGAAGGAGGTTAGTTTTGGTGAAGTGTATTTTTTTTTTAATGGTTATTTTATTTTTTAATTTTTTTTTTTTTTACATTTATTTATTTTTGAGAGACAGAGACAGAGCACAAGTGGGGGATGGGCAGAGAGAGAATGGGACACAGAATCCAAAGCAGGCTCTAGGCTCTGAGTTGAGCCCAGTGCGGGATTTGAACTCACAAACTGTGAGATCATGACCTGAGCCGAAGTGAAGTCGGACACTTAACCTACTGAGCCACCCAGGCGGCCCAGTGTTTATTTTTGAGAGATAGAGACTGAGAGTGAGTGTGTGGGGAGGGGCAGAGAGAGAGGGAGACAGAGGATCTGAAGCAGGCTCCGTGCTGACAGCAGAGAGTCCAAGATAGGGCGCTCAAACTCATGAACTGTGAGATCATAACCTGAGCTGAATTCAGTGGGACACTCAACTGACTGAGCCACCAGGTACCCTGGTAATTTGTATTTTTTAGTAAAATTCAGAAAGATCTGATAATAAGATCCACTGGATCCTGAGAGCTTAGAGCAATGTCTGCTTCATAGGGAGTAGCCATTGAAATTTTGTTGCATAAATCTATATATTATATTATAGCAAAATAAAGATTAGATAAATTAGAAATAGTTTCAGTTGAAGGTGTTTATATCTGGGTAAGGTGGTCCAAGAGTATGTTACTGACTGAGAAAGTATAGTGTAGCTACTATTCCTTATTACAAACTGATTCTATTCTGATGTTCATTACTTTTTTTTAAGGCTTACAAACCTGCACATAGCCAAAATGCTTTGTAATTGTAATGGCAACCTAATTTAGAAATATATTAATTCCTGGAGCAGTCTGTAGCTCTTTAGAGTTGGTAGATACATTTAGTTCCTGTTGGAGCCCAACACATAAAGCAAAATGTAATAGTATTACTGCTATTATTATTAGATTATTAGAGTCACATCTGCAAATGTAAACTCTTAAGTTATGTGTTCCAAAGGCCAATTTGCATGGTTTTCATATATGGAAGTGTGGCATCTATGTGTAGGGAAACTTTGCAACACAATATATTACTTACTTAGTGCCTTAAATTCTTGTCTGTGTTATTTTGTGTTATATTGCTCACAGAGTTTTATATATTGTGCCCTTGTGTAATGAGTCCAACTTATCCAGAGTCTTGTTTTTTCTCCTCTTGTTTCTAATCTTGTGTGCTTCTATGGATTTGTTTATTTAAACTTAAGTATAGAACTCTTCATTTGTTTATCCATTTGAGCATTTACTAATCAAAGGATTAAAAATTTTAAGAAATGTAAAAATGGTTAAATATTATACAGACTGAGAAAATAAAAAGGAAATGCCAAAGATATTATCTCCAGTCCCAAATTAAAGTCTAATTTTTTATTTTATACTCCATCAATAAAATATTTTTTAGTCTGTTGTCTTAATAGTGAATACCTATGATAAAACTAAATTATTAGTCTCCCCTCTTCTCCCTCTACTCCATGCTTCTTCTCAAAAGGGTAGAGTTCTTATTTTGTAGGGAGAGTACTTAAGAAGTAACTACCTGATATAAACCTAAATCTTGCTTGTAGGAGTTATTTATATCAACAGCATTCCAATGTATTAATTAGAAGTAACTTTCTAAAATAGCTCTTATATACCAGAATGTATGAGTATGTGATTTCATAGTCAGAATGTCTCCTGTGTTCAACCCATTCAGAAAGTCAATACAGAAATAGAATGCTAGTTTAGTAATTTAGAAAGATAGATTACAATGAAAATAGTTGTAAAGAGTATAAATGGTCAATCCTAAGTCATATCTATAAGGAAATCCAAATCATGATAGAAAGAGGAAATGGATCAGTAAAAAATTTTTAAAAGATGAAATTGAATATCTAATAAAATTATGTTGGTTAACTCACCCTAAAATGGATATTGTCTGTTATTCTTAAGTCTTTCTGTTGCAAATTAAAAGTCTCAATCTAGCTTTATAAAACAGATGTAACTACTTGGTAACTACCTTAGTTCTGAACTAAACCTTATTTTCTAAATATCTGATAAAAATAGACAAAAGGTTTTTTTCCTTCTATCTTTGGTAATCAGAAGACTGAGTATATAGACCTCATTTCTTATATTACAGTGTGGTTTGCAGCATATGTTTGTTTATAGAATTAAATGCATACATTGCTAGATCAGTTTCTTATCATGTTATTAGATCATCGTGGCTTTAACTTTAATAGTGGTGTAAGATGAGCTTATAAAAGCAATGTTAGTGCCTTCATATTTTTTGTAATTCACTTGTTATTACGTAC